CCCAGGGACGCCCTGAAGCAGAACTACCCAGCTAAGCTCCTGAATTCCTGATTCACAGAAACTATTGGAGATAATAAAAGTTTGTTGTTGTGTCCCTTTAAGCTTTGAGGTAATTTGTTATGAAGCAATAGATAACTAATAGACTACCCATGAATTAATTCATTTACTAACTCATTTATTCAGCAAGTGCCTATTAAGGTCCACAGTCCTCCAATCGCTGTAACACACTTCAGTGGCATAATAAAACACTATATCTCCTCAAGGAGCTCACAGAACCATTTGCAGGGTGTGGTGGCTCACGACTGTAATCCCAGCACTTTGGAGGCCAAGGCAGGCGGATCACCTGAGGATGGGAGTTCGAGACCAGCCTAATCAACATGGAGAAACCCCATCTCTACTAAAAATACAAAATTAGCCAGACGTGGTGGCACATGTCTGTAATCCCAGCTACTTGGGGCTGAGGCAGGAGAATTGCTTTAACCTGGGAAGTGGGAGTTGCAGTGAACCAAGATCTCACCACTGCACTCCAGCCTGGGCAACAAGAGTGAAACTCCATCTGAAAAAAAAAGAAAAAAGAAAAAAAGGAAAGAAAAAGAAAAATCACATAGTTGGTAATAATACCTTTATCTACAATTAAAGTCCCATCATCCCTGGTAGGGAGATGTAATATGTCAACGCATACCATAAGACAGTGACACGTAGAACACAAAGAATCAGGAAATACGCACCCATCAAAATGGCAATCTTTCATTGATAGAAAGAAACAGGACTTTATAAAATCTTGGCAGTCTTTTGGGTATAGGAGAGCCTGGCCAGGGGATGGTGATTCAGTGAGAAACTGGGAAATAATGGGGAAATCCTATTACATGCAGTAAGCCAAATTTCGGATTTAAAATAAGACCTCCCTGACTCGTTTCCTTTTTGAAGATGATATTATCAAGAGTAACTGGATTATTTCAAATGTTATTTCTAGAGTTTCATTTTAAAATAAAGTTATATTGGCCATTCAAAGCACAGACTGATTGCCATCTGTTTCCTGCTCCAGTATATTCTTGCCGTCTGGGTATTTACCTTCTCAGAGAAAGAAAGCGAAGGCAAATGGCTTATGATGTGGAGAAGAATACGCAATGGGACTTATTGAAATGGCAGCAGAACCCAGGGCTGCTGCTTCTTGTTTGGGAGAGCTGTTGCTGGAGGAGGAAAAAAAAGTGAGAATGGGAAAGAAAGTAACTGTTTTTTTAGCATTTACCGTATGTCAAGCTCTGGTAGGTGTTTTACATACACTGTCATTCAATCCTCATACATTTGGAAGGTGTGTATTATTAACACTGTTACAGAAATCAGGAAGCCGGCTTTCAGAAAGGTTAAGTGATTTACCTAAAACTGCCCAGCACACTGCTTTCAAAATCTATCTTTTTTCTGCTTAATATGATGAGTCACCTGTTCATTCATAGCTAATGTATATTGCAAGGAGAAAGTTATCCTTTTGCTTGATAAAACACACTTTTTGAATCGTCATTGAAAATGTGCTGTACTCCTGGCAGGGCGTGGTGGCTCACGCCTTTAATCCCAGCACTTTGGGAGGACTAAGTGGGAGGATCACGAGGTCAGGGGATCGAGACCGTCCTGGCCAACACGGTGAAACCCCGCCTCTACTAAAAACACAAAAAGTTAGCCGGGTGTGGTGGCACGTGCCTGTAGTCCCAGCTACTCCAGAGGCTGAGGCAGGAGGATCGCTGGAACCCGGGAGGCGGAGGCTGCAGTGAGCCGGGATTGTTCCACTGCACAACAGCCTGGCGGCAGAGTGAGACTCCATCTCAAAAAAAAAAAAAATAAAGGAAGAAATAAAAAAGGAAAGAAAGAGGCCAGGCTCAGTGGCTCACACCTGTAGTCCTAATACTTTGAGATGTCAAGGCAGGGGTATCACAAGGTCAGGATGCAAGATCAGCCTGACCACCATGGTGAAACTCTGTCTCTACTAAAAATACAAAGATTAGCCAGGTGTGGTGGCGCACGCCTGTGATATCAGCTACTCAGGAGGCTGAGGCAGGAAAATCGCTTGAACCCAGGAGGCATAGATTGCAGTGAGCCCAGATCGTGCCACTGCACTCCAGCACCTGGGCGACACAGTGAGACTCCATGTTAAAAAAAAGAGAAAGAAAATGTGCTGTACTCCAAACAACCCATGCAGAAATGGCAAAGAAGACATGGAACAGTAAGACTTTCTTTTCTCTAGTCTCAACATATGGATAATTCCTCCTTTTAGAATTCAAGTCATAACTGCTAAATTTTTCACAAGTACTTTAAATGGAAAAATCCTCATTGCCCTTTTGAATTAAAATTCTGATACTTGTTCATGTAGAGGAAGAGAAAGAGAGAGAAAGAAAAACAGGTAAGGAAAAAGTAGAGTTCCTTGGTCGTCCCACGCTGCCCAGAAATGATCCCTGTTCAAAATTTGCATGTATTTCTATGAACTTTTTTCTAGGCAAATGTGTATGTGTATCTAAGTATGTGCACACAGACATACACAAATATGAGATTTTCCTATAATGACTTCTCTGCAATCTGCTTTTCTCATTCATTTAACAATATATTGTTTAAATATGTCATGATGCATGTATCTAGCCAATTCGTTGTAAAAGTTCACTCTATTCTATTATTTAAAAATGGTTACCAAACTTAAATAGCGTTTCAAGAGCAAAATAAAGTTAACAAAGAGTGGAACAACATGCAAATCCGAAACTACCTATGTAAGGGTTATTGCTGAGTTTAAAATGAGGAAACTGAGGCCTGCAGAAAAAGATTAAATGCCAATTTATTCAGCTCCCGGCGAGGTTCTGTGGTTCCGGGAAAAGAGACCAGGGAAGTTATGCCTGACTCTTCTGGGCGTGGGAGTTTTATAGGGAGTGAAGGCCTTTGATTGGTTGCAGGGAAACAGGGCGTGGTCGGGGCAGGCTGCTATTGGTAGGTAGGTGGGATTTTCTAACGGCAGGCTAGGTGCCGAGTGCAGAGCTTAGTGCTGAGTGCAGAGGGGTTTTCCAAGGCAGGCTGGGTGCTGAGTGCAGAGAGTAGTGCTGAGTGCAGAAGTGGGCGTGTCCAAGCTCCCTGGAAGCAACTGGCCTTACAACCTATACTGTGTATCTCTAGTGCTTTTGTTCTCTAGTGTCCATCTCTGTATCCCATAGCTAGTTGGCTCAAGAAGCAGACACTTTCAGATGACATTTTCCTGGAGCAGAAAAAAATTTTAAACCTTAATTGGACCATCGATTGCTAGAGTCAGAACTAGACTTTTAGTTGTTCCTCAGCCTTGCTTTGAACATGAGCAATGAATGTCTCACCCACTGCCAGCATCCCCACTCGTCTGTCCTGGGGCACGTTCCCATGGCACGTTAGCTTCTTTCACACCAGGAGCAGCCTACAGAGAGTTGCCTACCGAAGAAGCAGCAGCCTGATTCTGGTGAAAATACAACTGGGGCTCATAACTGGATCAATTGTTTACTTGTTCCTGTCATGTGATAGTCACTGCATATTCTAGAAAATAATGTCTCTCTCTCTTTTTTTCGAGGCCCATGGCATAGTTTTACTGCAGCTCCAATCTGACTCTACGTTACTCACACTCTATTCTCAGGGATTTGGGGAAGGCCACCCCACTAGGAGCCCTGTCCCCACCAGAGCTTGGAAATGGGATCTCTCTCAAGGAGGAGTCTTTGTCCTTCTTGGAGGCTTTCGTTCTCTCTCCAGTCTGTATGTGCTCTGATCTGGGCTGGGCTGACACTTGGCTGTTCTTTCAGCCTCGACCCTGGGGCTATGACAGTCTGGGAAGGCCCAGCTGTCCATGTCAGTGGGGCTTGGGGACATGGCAGTCCACACAGGGTGAATTCTGCTCCTTCCTGCTCCAGCGTCAGCACAATCTGCTAGCCCAGCGGGGAGCTCGACTGGAGGAGGGAGGCCACGTCTAGCAGGCTGTTTTCCCTCTCTTCAGGAGGAGGCAGAAGGTCCAGGTGGTCTTTGCTCACATGCACATGGCAGGTGGAGCATGCTAGGAAGGCTTCACAGGCGCCTTCCAGGTTCACCCCATGGCATGGGGTCAGGTGGACAACATTGTCCCTGACTCTACTGCTCACTGGGATCTGCCAGCCTGACAGGTCTACAAACACCACGCTCACCACATTCCTGGGCCACTCAGGGCCACTGCCTCTTCCTCTCCCACCTGGCGCATCAGCCTGCCTCCTGAAATTTCCAGGTTGTCACGGGCACCACTGCCTCCCCGGGCTCCAAAGAGCCCCTGGGTCTGTTACACCAGCTGTCTCTGGCAGCTGGCAGCAGAACCCCAGCACTCATTCCACCCCAGCCCCTGGAGGCGGCCATGACAGGGTCGACAATTATCCCTTACCTTTCATCATGGCACTAGGGTCACCAAAAGAGTATTTTGTTTTCGAAGTATATATCCAGTTTTTTATGTCTGGCCATCATAAATAAAACTTCCAAAATTGATGAAAAAGTTATCTAGCCATTTTCAAGTTAATGATAACCACAAAAAAAGAGAAAAAAAAAAAAAGCAAAACATGATGTTGTTTACATAGATTGGGAGTCTGCAAATGGGAGACCATGGTCCAAATTCAGCCCATTGCCTTTTTTATAAATAAAGTTTACTTTTTTGTTTGTTTTTGGGGTTTTTCTTTTTTTGAGCCATAGTTTCACTCTTGTTGCCCAAGCTGGAGAACATTGACATGATTTTGGCTCACTGCAACCTCCACCTCCCAGGTTCAAGTGATTCTCCTGCCTCAGCCTCCCAAGTAGCTGGGATTACAGGGTCCCGCCACCTCACCTGGCTAATTTTTTTATTTTTAGCAGAAACAGGGTTTCACCATATTGGCCAGGCTGGTCTCGAACTCTTGACCTTAGGTGATCTGCCCACCTCAGCCTCCCAAAGTGCTGGGATTACTAGCATGAGCCACTGTGCCCGGCAAATAAAGCTTTAAAAAAAAAAAAATTGTATTAGCCCTGCCTAAGCAAGACTTCAAAAAATTTGGTTACCAACTCAGACTGTTCCTCTTCATGGAAACTTTTAGCAAATGGCAAAAATAAAAATTATTCATTCTGAAGAAAAATGAAAGCATTACAGATAAAGTTTTATTGGAACACAGCCACACACATTGATTTATATATTGTCTATGGCTGCTTTCACTCTATAATGGCCAAGTTGACCAGTTGCAGCAGAGATCATATGGCTTCAAAGCCTAAAATGTTTAGGCTTTCAAATAATTTGATATGTTTTCTCTGCTAGAGTTCCAATTTGTTTCATAGAGACACAGTGCCTTATGTCAACAAAATGGCGCAGTGGTAAGAATTCTTAAAGAGTAGCTGTTTAGTGAGACTGGTCTTTCTCTTTGGGGACAGTGAAATGTTTCTCTGCCTCCTCCAATGATACCCTCTAAGAGACGCCTTCTCCCCTTCATTCATCCTTAGCACTACAATGACACTTGGAAAGAGTCCTACCGTGCTACTCAGCAAGCTCTCTCCCTGCTTACCAGAAAGGAAGGAAGAAATTCAAGAAAACAAATTAAGAAAGAAAATGTGGGTGGAGGACAGATGACTTACTGGTATCTCCTCCACCCATCCTGTCTCCTGTCCCTACTCCGATCACCAGTGAGACGCCTGAGGTGTGGGAGGGGCTGTCCACAAAAGCGTGAGTGCCTGCAGATGTGGGTGTGTGCCCTTGAAAGCGAGACTGTTGGAGAATAGCCCTGTGCTCAGAGGAGAGAGAATTTGTCTCCAGGGACAGAGAGCATCTGTAGAAAATTACAAACTTGAGGTCATGTGTATTTAAGAGTGAGAAATTCAGTGTGGAAGAGGCTTCGACAGCATGAGTGATAGGGATGTGAATGTGCTCAGGACAGTGAGCGTGTGAAACAGTGAATAAGGCAGGGATGAATATGTGTCCCAGAAAGGCACCAGATGTGTGACTAAGTGTGTGTATGAACAAACAGAGAAGGAAATAAATTTAAAAAATGAAAAAAGATACAAAGTATGGATGAGACTGAGATTCTTTCCAGCAAGATGAGATTCATACATATATGATGTCACTTTGGTGTGACTGCATTGCATGTCAATCCAGAACCACCAACAAGAAATTCAATCTTACCCAACTCCTCTGGGTTGTAAAGCACAGTAGAAATGGATGGCCAGGTGGTTAGCTATATCCCTGCATTTTCATGAATTGAGGTCATTTTAAATGACGTAGGCAAGAAAACTATTTAAAGACAGAAATAACCTATCTCACAAAATATGTGTTCCTTCAGTGTTTTGTTGAGATTTCTATTCCACCAATTATGTTATATTGTGATCATCGATTGACTGCTCAATTTTTTTTTTTTTTGAGACGTAGTTTCACTCTGTCACCCAGGTTGGAGTGCAATGGCGTGATCTCAGCTCACCACAACCTCCACCTACCGAGTTTGAGGGACTCTCCTGCCTCAACCTCCCAAGTAGCTGGGATTACAGGCATGTGCCACCATGCCCAGCTAATTTTTGTATTTTCAGTAGAGATGGGGCTTCACCCTATTAGCCAGGATGGTCTCCATTTCTCGACCTCAGGTGATCTGCCAGCCTCAGCTTCCTGAAGTGCTGGGATTATAGGTGCCAGCCACCAAGCCCAGTCTTGACCATTTATTTCACTTGTATTTCCCACTTCATTCAGGGTCTCCCACGCAATGTTTGGTGCATAGTTTATAATCATAAAATATTTGCTGAATGAATGTATTAATAAGTGAAATAGGTTAGCCCTAAAATGAAAATTTCAGCTCCTGCCGTCAATATGCAGGTAAAAAAGACAGCTGCTCATGGGTTTCTTCCATAATTCCTCCAATGGGAAGCCTGATTCTTGCTATAGGGATAGTAAAAATCATAGTTATTATCATAGATAATAACCAAATCATGGATAATAACCACAATTATTAAATTGTGGTTATTATCATTGCCACAATTGAAAGACAGTGATATATGCACACAATTCACACCAGTCTTTACTACAATTTTTTTTTTGAGATGGAGTCTCACTCTGTAACCAGGCTGGAGTGCAGTGGCGCGATCTCGGCTAACTGTAACATCTGCCTCCTGGGTTCAAAGCGATTCTCCTGCCTCAGCCTCCTGAGTAGCTGGGACTACAGGAGCATGCCAACATGCCTGGCTAATTTTTTTGTATTTTTAGCAGAGACAGAGTTTCACCATGTTAACCAGGATGGTCTTGGTTTCCTGACCTCATGATCCACTTGCCTCGGCCTCCCAAAGTGCTGGGATTATAGGCATGAGCCACTGCACCCAGCCAGACTTTACTACAATCTTTTTAAACACTTTTAAAAAAGAATTTTGGTATTTTAAATGACCCCTTTTTTTTTTTTTTGGAGACAGAGTCTCCCTGTGTTGCTAGGGCTGGTCTCAAACTCCTGGGCTCAAGCAATCCTCCCACCTCTGCCCCCAAAGTGATGGAATTGCAGGTGTGAGCCTCCATGCTCAGCAAAGATCACTCCTAGAACAGAAAAGTATTAGAACTGGCTCGTGATCCCCAGGTCCCCAGTTGTGGATAAAAATTATTCTCTCTCAGGATCTGAATATCAGCCCTTGTGGGAGAAGATTACATCTGGAGTTTGATTTTACTCAGATAAGACATGGCAGAGCTGACTATTCCCTAGCAGCAACCCAAGCCCGAGTATGTACCTCTGTTGTAGCTAAGGGAGAGATGAGCATTTCCACTAAGTTAAACTAGTCCTTAAAACACAATAAGCTTATCCTGCCCAGAGGGAAGTTTATAACGTCAAGACCATACCAAGGAATAGTTTTGGGTGTGGACAATGAACCTGAGAACCACACCACTTTAGAGCTTCAAAACTTCCTAGAGAGAGATGACCATATGTTCCAGTTTTTCCAGATAGCCCCAGTTTATGCCTGTTGTCTTGGTGTAATTTCAAAGGTACCGGCTTTCACTCTAGAAAGTTAATTATACGGTCAACCTGCTCAGAGATGATCTAATGCTCATTTTACATAAGAGATGTTTGTACCCTGGAGCAGTGAAGTGACTCGCCCAGTCACATAGCTAGTGGGACTTTCACCATTGCAAATGGTAACAAACCTTTTCTTTTTGCAGAAAACTCAGGAGAAAGCCTTCGCCTCCCAATCATGTCATTCTGTAATGACATGAACAAAAACTAAAGGAAACTACCTTACAGACATTCATTTTCCTGAGGCTTAAGCTGTAAAAGGATTTCTTTCTTCATAAAGGAAATGCCTGTATCTAGAGAAAATATTCCAGTCGGGAAAAAGGGTTCCAATTCAGGCCTCGAGTTCGTGGATCTCTCGCAGGAAGGAATTCAAAGTGAGCTGCAGAGTATAGCAAGAAGAGATAGTTTATTGAAAGCTACTCAGTTACAGAGTGAGAGTGTCCTCAGAAAGCAAGACAAGGAATGCACCATCTTTGTTTTAAACTCTTCTTACATAGGGATCTTATCTATGTAAAACCTAAGTTAAGTTATATCTACACGTGGGTGGGCTGACACCCTAACATTTATTACTTTGTTGATTTAAAGAAAGTTATCCTTGGCATTTTAGTGCGTAAGTACATCAAAAGCATAACTACAGTCACCTTAAAAGCATACATTGTTATGCAATATCGGGACATCTGGACATTTTGTTGTCATAGGAGTTTGGCCTTGCAGGCGTGATTAAGCTGTTTCCTTGGTGGTAAACATGTTATGACCACAGGTTGTGACTGGCAAGGAATGTGCCTTGCTAGTTTCAAGATGGAGTTGATTTGAAAATGATGTCACCCTGGCTCTCCTATGTTCCTGTTTCCCTAACAATTTCACCGTCATATTGGCCTCATCTCAAGTACAGCTCAAAACCCTTGATTGTGGGCATACCGAGGGTAGTGAATTTCAGCTTACAGTTATGCTGCTGGGTAAAGTCCAGCCAGAATTGTGCCTATTTCTGGCATGGGGACAGGAGATGGGTGTTCTGGCTACAAGGTCATCACGAATTTGCTGACATTTGATGAATCTGTACACTGCATTAGACATTCATGGACATTTTTTAAAGTTCTTGTATAAAACACTTTCCATTCCGCACTATATCATGTTTTGGATCCTAAAACAACTTAGTGCAGAGGTCAAATTTTGGAGTTCTAGGCAAGAGACAGTAAGCAAAAAAGAAAAAAAAATTTGAAGTTCAGCCAAGGCCCCAGTAATCTTATGGAATACATGGGACCTTTACTGAAGAGAGGGCGATTGGGCCATTTCATGATGTGATAATCCACCTCTCAGCACCCAGTTCGTCACCTCCTTTCTTCCCTCCCTGTCCTACCTTGGTTCAGGCTTCCTCACTTTTTGTGTGGTTGTCATGTGGCTTTCTTCTCCATTCTAATGCGTCCTGGAGACCGCTACAATCTCTGTTACTTTCTAGATAAAAAGTCTTTTTTCTTTTCTTTTCTTTCTTTCTTTTTTTTTTTATCTTTTTTCTTGAGACAGAATTTCACTCTTGTTGCCCAGGCTGGAGTGCAATGGCACAATCTCTGCTCACTGCAACCTCTGCCTCCTGGGTTCAAGCGATTCTCCTGTCTTAGCCTCCCGAGTAGCTGGGACTAGGTATGTGCCACCATGCTGGCTAATTTTTGTATTTTTAGTAGAGACAGGGTCTCTCCATGTTGGTCAGGCTGGTCTCCAACTCCCAACCTCAGGTGATCCACCCGCCTCAGCCACCCAAAGTGCTGGGATTACAGGCGTGAGCCACCTCGCCCAGCCCCGAAAAATCTTTTAATAATTTTCCATTGTCTATAAGATAAAAGTCAGGCTGGGCGTGGTGGCTCAAACTCGTAATCCCAACATTTTGGGAGGCCAAGATAAGAGCTGAGAAGTTCAAGACCAGCCTGGGCAATAGGGTGAAACCTGGTCTCTACCAAAAATACAAAAATTAGCCAGTGTGGTGTCACACACCTGTGGTCCCAGCTACTCAGGAGGCTGAGGTGGAAGGATTTCTTCACCCTGGGAGTTCAAGGTTGCAGTGAGCCATATTGTGCCACTCCGCTCCAGCCTTGCTAGTTTTTTTTCAAAAGAAAGAAAGACCCTTTTTC